AGTCAAACTTTCATGGTGTACACATGCAAATACTACAGACAAACATGTAAACACACATTTCTTGGTAATAGATTTAACATGCATAACTTTGGTGCCTTTACCTCCCATACACATACATGAACACACACACACACACACACACACCACAAACATGCTCTGCCATTTTAAACGCCGCCATTAACCACTTCCATCCTTTATGTGGGAAATGTGTGTGTGTGAATCCTCTATTAACCATTGTTAGATCCCTTGTGTGTGTGTGTGTGTGTGTGTGTGTGTTCTCTACCATTAACCGCTGTAAGATTGTGTGTATGTGTGTTTGGCCTCCAGTTTGTGTGCAGTATGTGTGTGAATTTGTGTAAAGACTGAGGCTGTTTTCACGCTTCTCACATCTGCGGCATGTTTTTATTTTGGCTCCCATATTCGTAGCAGAAAAGAAACAGCAAGAAAGTTAACACCATTAACTTAAAGGAATAATTGACCCAAAAATTAAAATTTGCTGAAAATTCATTCACCCTCAGGCAATCCAAGATGTAGATGAGTTTGTTTCTTCATCAGATTTGGAGAAATGTAGCATTACATCACTTGTTTAGCAGTGGATGCTCTGCAGTGAATGGGTGCCGTCCGAATGAGAGTCCAAATAGCTAATAAAGACATCCTAATAATCCACAAGTAACCCACACCCCTCCAGTCCATCAGTTAACGTGAAGCAAAAAGCTGCATATTTGTAAGAAACAAACCCATCGCTAAGACGCAATGTTTTTAACTTTAAACTGTCACCTCTCACCAAAATATGTGACACGGAGAGGGCGGGGAGGACGGCCCCGCCCCTGGCTCCGCCCTTTAAAGGAGCCATGGATAATTGTGTTCTGAAAAAACAATAAAAACAAAAAGCTGCTTGTTACAAATGCGGCTTGTAAATGGTGCTTGATCTGTGCAGATTTCTCTCCTGATTCAGACCAGATGATTTTTTCACTTGCGGAAGCAATATTATGGATCATGGACTCATATTTTAGCTGGAAGCAGCGTTTGTCTTCTCCAGATGTTAACTGATGGACTGGAGTGGTGTGGATTATTGTGATGTTTTTATCAGCTGTTTGGACTCTCATTCTGACGGCACCCATTCACTGCAGAGCATCCATTGCTGAGACACTGATGCAATGCTACATTTCTACAAACCTGATGAAGAAACAAACTCAACTGCATCGTGAATGGCCTGAGGGTGAGTAAATTATCACCAGATTTTGATTTTTGGCTGAACTATTCTTTTAGTCAACATTATAATTTGCAATACAAGTGTTTATTTATTTATTTTATTTTTTTTGAAGCAATGCAAAATGCTGTTTGAAAAAAATATGTCTGTCAGGCTTGATGCAAGTTAAATGCCATGAAAGGTACACAAATATTGTTTGTTCAGTAAATTTGTACTTAATCTAGATTATAGATTGGGAACTGTGTAGATTAATAATTATTTGTATGTAAATGTGATCGTCATTCAAATATTCATGCAAAACTTTATATTAGTTCTCAATAATCCATTCTCAGTCACCATTTAACAATTCTTACATGATATTGAATGAAAAACTTGTAAATCAGGACTCACTTTTATGCAGCAGAAAACACATGCTGTAGATGGCAGATGTGTGAAACGATGTGTGAAACGGTGTGTGTGTGTGTGTGTGTGTTTGTTTGTGTGTGTGTGTGTGTGTGTGTGTGTGTGAATACCGTTTGAGGTCACAGGAAGGTACATGATAATGTCATCATTCATTTCAGTCACATTTGATTCAAGATCACATCCTGACGTGTTAGTCATTTTTATCAGGATGCCAATAAAATTGATTCATTTAAGTTTTATGGTGTCAGACTGTTGTGTTTAGTGCTCTCTTTAAATGGCTGTTTTTCTAAAAATAACGACCTGTATGAAAATTTTAGAATTTTAGGTTTTTCTTTTAGTTTAGAAATTAATAATTTTATTCAGCAAGGATGCATTAAATTGATCAAAGGGGACAGTAAAGACATTTATAATTACAAAAAAAAAAACTCTTTTCAACTGATAATAATCAGAAATGTAGAATGATTTCTGAAGGATCATGTGACACTGAAGACTGCAGTAATGATGCTGAAAATGTAACTTTGATCACAGAAATAAATTACATTTTAAAATATATCCACATAAAAAACATTTATTTCAAATTCTAATAATATTTCACAATATTACAGTTTTTCTATATTTTGATCAAATAAATGCAGCCTTGGTGAGCAAAAGTGACATGACTGGTACAATCCCTTTATCATGAATTACATAATTATTAAACTAATAGGCCAAGTATTTTCTAAATTAACAAATCAACTGTTTATTTTCATATTAAACATCTCAACAGCCACTGAATGAAGGGGTTTGAGTATGAAAAATTGTATATCAAGTATAAAATATTAGATAATACATATTTCTTATAAATACATGTATATAAATACTAGAAAAGTATTTTTATGTTTATTTACAAATGTACAGACCAGTTGTAAATTGGAACAACTTTAAAGTTGAATTATTACACAACTTTTAAAATTAAATACAATTATGAGAATCTTAGCATTAGCATGAACACACACACCTAGATATCGAAGTGAATTTATTTGATTATTTTAGTTTACATCCAGTGATCTGCTTCTGACAGGAACAAACATCTCTTGTTTGTGTTGATTAGTGGCTTCGTTTGCATGCAGGCGTGTTTGGACCGTCACATTAGCCAGATGAGCTGGGTGTGAGTTACAGAAGGACAGAGAGATTTATGTCAGTGTGTGTGGTTAGTTTGCATCTGCAAGATATGAATGAAGACTTTGACGACCTGTGAGATTGTGTTGCTAGAGGCCAAGAGGTGAGAAGTGGGCGTGTCCTGCTGTTACTATAAAAGGCTGCTCGATACTGGCCACACCCACTCAGGACACGCCCAATCGCAGTAAAGCTTGAGTGGCCACGCCCACTCTGACAGTTAACACTGATTGAGATTGAACAGGAGATTGAAAGCATGTGTTTGAATACGGCTGAAAACAGCCTGGTGAAACTGAACATAACTGACTGGGCTTGACTCTATTCATCAGGAATTGGTTGGATGGTGAAAAGTGGATTGCATAGGACTGTGGAAACATGGTAGGAGTGTTTGGGGAAACCTGTCCGAGACAATCATTTCTGCAGTTCTGTTTGCTCTAATGGTGCTGTAGTTTGTTGCTTCAGTTACTTTCTAATCAGAGTGCCAGCGGGAGGAAGGTTATGGTGTTGATGGACGCTTGTTGAGACTTGCCTTTCTAGCAGATTTCTGAAACACTGATGAGTTTTGGTAACAATTTAGCCAATCAGTCTTTGAGGGTTTGGACTATGTTTGTAACATATCCATGCTTCCAGAACAAAATGGCTTAACATTTTCCTTTTATTTATATAATACACAAATTATACAGAAAATTATACATTTGATAATACTTATAATTATACGATAAGTTGTATTATAAAATATTTAAAATACAAAAATATAATATACTAATTTAAAATATAAAAATTACATATTCTAGAATATTTAGAATTACTTGAATAATATTTAGAATTAGTTTAAATGATTTCAAGTACTTAACATTAAGAATACTATAATACTGCTTTTAGAAACAATTAAAAATGAATGAAAAAAAAAATGTTTATAATACAAGTGTGTGTGTGTGTAAAATGTATATAATATACAAAAATTATATCAAATATTATATGTTTATAATATATACTATTTATTATTTTAAATAATTTTATAATACAAATAATTTTGAAACCTATATTATTTATATTTCACATAATCTATAAATATTTTATAATACAGTCAGATTTTCTACAAATATAATATATAAATAAAATAATTTATATAATATTCAAATTATATAGCAAATTATGTATTTTAATATTTATCATTTTAGATCATTTATATTATAAAAATGATTTAAAATATTTAAAATGCTCAACTAAAATATATTATTTTTAAAATCATATATTCTAGTTTCAATAAATAGATTATAATTGCATAAACTGAACTTTTACATTTTAAAATGTAACTTTTTAATAGTCTTTTAAGTACTTAAAAAAAAAAATGATAGTGTTGAAATATTACATTTGCCAGAATATGTGTATTCAAAAAGTTTTATTTTAGGTGTGAAGTTATACATTTAGTTAACTTTGTTTGAAAATAATATAATAATTATAAAACCCTCATAAGTAACATATATATGATGTATGTCATTTATGACATGACCGAGGTTTCACAGTAGTTCACACTTGAGTTTCAGAGACATACTGCGTTTAGACCGTTCTGTGTTCTAGAACAGTCTGGCATGTTCTGTGATAGAATAAACTGATTACAGCCGTATTCCTCTTTCTGAAACATCCCATAATAGCATTACTACGGTAATCAGCTCATTACTCATTCATTCTGACATCATCACATTCAGCCAATCGAATTAAGCGCATAATTAGAGCACGGCAGATGAAGGGCCGTGTGTTTGAGCTGCTGATTGAACGAGCGCTGTGTGTCTGTTTGCATAATACTCACATTTATGATTTATATCATGAGAAATTAAGTTCCTGCTGCTGTCAGCTAACCACTGAAATCTACTCAAAGCTTTACTTTTTCTGAGGAGACCGTGAGTAAAGTTTCCCAGTGCAAGAGTCAGATGCAAGATGCTACAATGTTGCCAGTTGCTAAGGTGTTCTGAGTGGGTTTAAGCACGTTGCTAGGGTGTTCTGGTGCAAGTTATGCACAAGTTTAATACTTACAGGAATATAAGTTAGGTC